AAAGGGAAGTTTAATTTAGAGGGGATTTCTGCCCTGCTTAGCTGGGGTCACGTGCCCAACATAAAATAATAATGCATCCAACTGTCCATCTTATAATAAGCAACCTTTGCATTGCCTGGCTCACTGGTGAAAACCACAAACAGTGGGCAGGAAAGATATGAATACCAGAAAAAGCTGAGGGCTCCCTGGAACTTTCATGTGATTATGTTTGTGCTAATGCAGAGAGCACAGAAACCCAAAGGCTACCTTTGCAGAACCTGGTTCATTAAAAATACATTGGTCGTTAACAAGAGACTATGGTGCATTGACTGGGAGGCATGGCCACCACATAGGACAGTGATGGCGAACCTATGACACGCGTGTCAGAGGTGACACGTGAACTCATTTTTTTGGTTGATTTTTCTTTGTTAAATGGCATTTAAATATATCAAATAAATATCAAAAATATAAGTCTTTGTTTTACTATGGTTGCAAATATCAAAAAATTTCTATATGTGACACGGCACCAGAGTTAAGTTAGGGTTTTTCAAAATGCTGACACGCCGAGCTCAAAAGGTTCGCCATCACTGACATAGGAGAAGGTAGAACTGGTTTATTCATGGTAAGCAATTTATATTGCCAATTCTGCTTCCTTCTCAATGCCATGGCCATCGTAGCCTCTTTGCCAAGGCAACGGGATAAGGCTCCAGAAAGAGGTATAGCCGCTCCGCATTAAAAGTGTTTTGTTGTTTCTTAAAATGGCTTATTTGGAAGTCAATTCCAAAATGGGGGATAGGATTTAGAACTCTATACTGGGATACACATCTATTTTAATTTTAGAGTAGCTGAGGGATGCCGAGCCTAGTTTGCCTTGATGAAAACCTGTTATACCCAATAAATAAGTACGTAACTCGCCATGAGGAACAAGGGACAGTCACTCAGGAACTCTGACCTTGAGTTGGGTGGGGAGGGGGAACTTGTGAGGCTCTCTCCTCGGGAAGGCACTGAAGGGAGGAGTCCAGTGCCTGGATACCACCCTTCTTGGTTCTGCGGTAAGTCCAGTCCCTCCAAAGCAGAGTGAGCTGCAGGCAGCCTGTAGGGTTCAGACGTGAGATCAACACTGGAGGGATGGTGTTGAATAAACCAATACTCTGACAAGCAGGTATTTTAACAATTAAAAATAAGTTGTATCCTAGTTTACCAGTCAGATGGTACAGAGTATGCATTTGGGGTAGTGTGTGAGGGAATGTGGATTTGCACATATAGGGATGGGAGTATGTATTAAGTTGACGTAGGGCAGGTGAATATTATGGGAAAATTAAATAATATTAAATATGATATTAATCTTATTAATTAATAATGGTCAAGAGAAATAGCACATATGTGACAAGTATGCACGGTACCAAATTTTACATATTTTCTCACTCAGTCCTCACAACAGCAATCCTATGAGGGAGGTACTGTTATTTTCCCTGGCTTTTACAAGAGGAGACTGGTACACAAAGAACAGGGGAAACAAGCCCAAATTCACATACTAGTAACTAGTGAAGTAGCAGAGCTAAATTTAGACCCAGGCAGAGCTTAAAGTTGAAGAATCCTTGCTTTTTGCCCTGGTAGGTGTAACTCCTAGTTAGAGCACCGGCCCATGCACCAAAGGATCTTGTGTTCAATTCCCTGTTAAGGGCACCTACTTGGTTTGCAGGTTCGATCCCCAGCCCCTGTCGGTGCACATGCAGGAGGCAACCAATCAATGTGTCTCTCTCACACTGATGTTTCTCTCTCTCCCCTTCCTTCCCTTCCTTTCTCTCTCTCTCTAGTGTCTCTCTCTCTCTCTCTCTCTCAAAAAAAAGAGTTCTTGCTTTTAAATTGTACAACAAACTGCTTTTAATATCTAAATTGGAATTGAGGTAAAATTTGCCAACAAGCTAATGATTTTAAAGATATTTCCAAGATTTATGCTAAATTGTAGTAAAAAGTCAAGTGGATGCCAATACCTCTCTTGAAGGAATTATCCCACTCCCAAATTAAAAGCCAAGCCTCCATTTCGACTGAGAGAATACTCCAAGTGAGTGAAATGCCTTCAGTGCACCTGGGTGTAAGTGGTGAGCTGGCGAACACAGTCCTGCCCTATTGGAGTTCACAGTTGCTGCCTGAAAAACACAGACTATTAAGTTCTGAGCAGGCCACCGAGAGGTTTCTGGAATTCCTGGTCTCTGGAGAGGTAACACGTTTCCTAGGAACCTGATCAGGAGGAACTTGCTCAACTGTTTAAGTTCATGTTTTTATGTCTGTGCCCATGGGAATAGCTAACTTCAAGTTCTCTGCTAGCGTAGGCTAAGCATTGCTTCAAATCTCTCCGAAACCCTTCGCCAACGTTGCTTATTCATTCTGACTGCTGGATGCCCCCACTGGCTCCGAGAAGACCCCTGAATTGGGAGTTGCCTTACAGCCAGACAGATTGGTTTATGGTCTTACAAAGTTAAGCGTGATATACATTTGTTTGGGGAAAATGGAGATGTGCATTAAGAAGAAACATTACCTTTTGATCCGGGCAGGAAAGCATACATAATCTCTTGTAGAGCCTGTGAAAGACTTCATTTTACACATAAAAGTGTGTGGAATTGCCCTGTACTGCACTGAACATGGTTTTTGAAAATAACCAGCTTCGAAACAAGCTGCTGTACGCTAGTGAGGGCCTCCAGCCACAGAGAATAAAATGTAAGCAGATGTAATCTGTGTAAAGTTACGGGAACAGACACACACTCTTGTTGACACAGTACCTGTATGGGACAAATCCTAAACCCTACAAGGGCATGTCATTAGGAACAGAGTCAAAAATGGGCATGGTACTCGTGAAAGAAATATGAAACTGATGGGCCTGACATGGCATAGAAATCTTTTAAATTATATATATTTTTTAATTGTGTAAAGGGTTTTTCTCTTCTGTGCAAAATAAAACTCTCTTTTCACAGTCTTGAGTAAAAAGCCCTACCTAGTGAGTATGGGGAAGCAACCAAAATTTTAAAACATCTTATAAAACTAAACCAAAGCGGGGTTTTAGCTATTTGGGAATTTACCTAATCTGAATATTTGACCAAAAGCATCACTTTGGACTTGGTTAGTTCTATAAAAGTACATAAATCTTTGCTGAGAATTTTAAGACAAAATAAGACTTTGGGTATAGTATAAGAAGAGAAAATGTGAGGTTTACAATGCATAACACAGCTGCCAGTTTAAAGTGCCCTGCTATTCAGGCACAATAGGTAAATCACATATGAAAAATTTAAAAGAAAGATCTCCTGCACATTATGGGGAAATTGTTGGCATCTTATGATGGGTCATCCAACCCTTGTTATTAAATGACAGCAATCATTAAAATGCCAAACGTATTTTGACAGAATTCACTTTATAAAATGTCAGCAAGTCTGTGTTTTTATTAGTTTGCTCCAAATCAATTTAGAAATTTCAATAGAATGCTTGTAAGTATTCCCCAAGCAATGTCCATTCCTGACTTTCTGCACACACACAAATATTACAAATTAATCAGATTTTCAGATTTCTGCATAATGGCTTTGCACATTTATTGCTTAATCCTGTTATAAAATGCCATTATGATTGACACATCGCGGTGGAGATAGAAGTCAATTGAATAATATGTAGCAGTCAATTTTATTTGTAGCTTAATGTGCTGAAGTATTTTTTCCCCACATTTCCATTATTTATAAGTCTGTCCCTTTGGAGAATATATAGAAGAATTTGTTTTAAATGAGCCAATAATGCCTTCTTTAAAATTTATAAGTGTGACAGAGTCATCTCTTTTTTTTCTTGGTCATCCATGACATGCCAGTAAACAGAGTTTTCTTCCACTTGCTATTCAGAGGACAAATTTCCGGACAGAGAGTCTTGTTAAGGGTGGCATGGAATTGGGTTTCAACCATCAACAAAATTAAAGCTGCCAACTAAAATCCTTCAAAGTTTTCTGCTAGCTCTATTTGTTTATTTACTCATGTATTTATTGTACTGCCACTATCTTACCTGCTATATGGTTTATCCTGAAAAAAAGCACGTAAGCCCACACAGAGACGCTATAATGTTTAAGAAGGCTCGAAAGTGCTGCTGTCTTGGTGGCATTTCCTTTTGCATGCTTTGGTGTCCAACAGGATTTCAGCAAAGGAAGTAAGATGTGTTCTATGCTTGGAGGTCGTGTGGGGTTCTTACTGCTTCAGTTAGCACCCAGGAAGCTTGCTTAAAGAGACCCATATTCTTTTTTAGGACATCATGTAAGGTGATGTTAAAAAGGCTTTGTTTCTAGGAAAACACATTTGTAAGATTCGTTGTCTGAAGGTGTATGGAGAAGGGCGGAAGTGTATGAGTCATATGAAGGGACGGTGTAATTGTACTTGGTCATGTCTGAGACCACACTTTCTCTGGCTTTGGAGAATCAGATTAGCTGTCGCCCACCTATGCATAAGGCATGGAGGCATGGAACAGACTGACATACCTCGGTGTGGGGCTTGGGGGGATGAGAAGAGATAAACCAAAGAACTTATATACTTATATGCATAGCCCATGGACACAGGCAATGGAGGGGTGAAGACCTGGGGTGGGTCAGTAGTAGCTGGGAGAAGGGGGGTAAAGGAGAGTAAAGTGGGAGACATTTGTAATGCTATCAACAATAGAAAATATATTTAAATCTTAAAAAAGGATGCAGTTTCCCACACAATCGATGCCTTGGGGTACCCTGTGCAAACTGATGTGTAACACCAGCCCATTAGCACCACTGATGATGGTGTCACTCTCCCTGCAGCCATAGCCTGCTACCTCCTGGGTGACTTGGGCCATACTGAATGGTCCTAGCAAAATGTATGCAGTTGACGGGTGATTGAGTGCTGGAGCTTTGGTAAACCACTCTGGAAAGTCATCTGTGCCTTCATGTTATGGGATGTCTCAGGAAGATGGGGTCCTGTGCAGTTCTCAGGCTGGCTTGTGTATTAAAGGAGCACTTCTCTTTTGGATTCCAGGGGCCAGAGGAAACCCAGCACTATCAGACCCAGGCACTCCTGACCACCCCCAGGCTGGTCAGACCCACCCCTCATTCCCGGTTGGGCCACAGGTCAGTATCTCTCCACTGCTTTCCATTAGGCTGTATATAGAATAACTTAACTATATAAAGAACCAAATAAATAATAATGAGTGCAATCCAATTAACTCCAACAGAGAAAAGATGGTGATAAATATTTGTATGGGAAGCTGTAGGACTACATTATTTATTAAATGCCATCAAGAAAAAGTGGGTTGGCAGAACTTTTCTCTCTTTTTTTACAGGAAATGTTTGTTTTAATCATTTGGAATCCTGTTTTCTTCTTCTTCTTCAAGACCCACTACAACTGTGCTATTAGTTACTGTGCAGTTTTCTAGAAAGTAAAACTTTAATGACTGGAGTGTGAAGAAAATTAAGTTATTTCAACCTTACTACAGCCATTTTTGCAATATAAGACGTAACTTAATATAAAAAAGTTAATGCAATTTTAATGCAAGTTCAGCTTATTGGGTTTGACAATACTGTACATCACATACAGCCCCTGCATTAATAAAGAAATACATTCATTATTTTTTAAAGTCTAATATTTGTGGATTTTTTTGCAGCCTGTGGTTATATGGAGATGTAGAACACAATTATAAAAGGCTGGGATTTTTTTTTCTTTTTACCTCTGTTATTTAGCATGAAGCTTTCAGAGTTCACCCCAATTTATGGAAAAAGAAGCTGATCTTTGAGCCTTTCTCTCTCTCTTTTTCTACTACTTTTTGTTCCTAGAAATTGATCACTTTCAGTACTTTGAGGGCTCATCAGTTCAAGGCTTGAAAACCCAAGTTAAGAACTTAGGTTGTCTTGACTTTCTTGTTCCAGTGCCACCAAGTTCCCCTATAGCCTCAAATCCCACTGTCCATGTTGGAGCACAAGGGCGGGAGGACAGAAAGCCAGGGAGATGTCTACTCTCTTATGAAAGCCAGAGAAAGTTCAGTGGGAATCGTAGAAACCAGCTTTTTCTGGCCATGCCCTCTCTGATTTCATGCTTAGCTTAGGACAGTGTGTGTGTGTGTGTGTGTGTGTGTGTGTGTGTGTGTGTGTACCTACCAAGGGCAACAAACTCTAAGGCAGCGGTTCTCAACCTGTGGGTCGTGACCCCTTTGGCGGTCAAACGACCCTTTCACAGGGGTCGCCTAAGACCATCCTGCATATCAGATATTTACATAACGATTCATAACAGTAGCAACATTACAGTTATGAAGTAGCAACAAAAATAATTTTATGGTTGGGTCACAACATGAGGAACTGTATTTAAAGGGCCAGAAGGTTGAGAACCACTGCTCTAAGGCTTCCAGGTTTTATGTAAGAAGCATGGCAGACCCAGACAGAGAGAAGTGGTGGACACCATGACAAACTAAAGACTGCACACCCTGCTTTAAGCCAGCAAATTCAATTTAAAAAACAGTACAGGCCAAAATGCCCAAACCTGTATCCTATATACAGTCGAAAGCCACCAGTCTGCCTCCCCTCTTATCTTGAATTATGATGGTCAGTGATATAACATCAGCAATTTGACAACCAGCTTATAACTTAGTATTTATTTCTAAAAAAATATGTTTATTTTTGTGCTTTACCTTTTCTTTTTTTTTAAGGCACAGTTAATCTCTGTGAATGTAATGAGTCTAGCAAATATATTAGGAACTTGGCCCACAGAGTCTAGAGCTGCGGTTCTAAAACTAGGCTGCATGGAGTCCCAGGGCTTCCTCAGAGGGCTCCTCAGACACAGCCTTGAGGGAAAACTATAGGTAATGTCAGAGAATGGGCTCAACCCTCCTCCCCGCCTCATTCTGCAAAAAAGTAGCCCTACTTTTCTAAATCTCCTCCGTGAACTGAGAAGGAGTGATGAGAAAGGGGTGCAGTGTGGGCTCTAGAGCAGCCTTCTGGCCTTGGGCTCCCCACCCCACTAGATGTGGGATTTGGGGCAAGTTACTAACCTCTGTGTATCTCAGTGGTAGGGCAACAGAGTTCATACACATACATCAGCCTAGAATAGTGCCTGGCTATTAGATACTGGGCTTTGTACTATGCCCATATTGAATTACCCTTTACTTTATAGAATAAAGCTGCATTAAAAAAAGTCGAAACCCCTCAATAGGAGTTTTGCATTGGTTTGTCTAGAGGGGAAAAAAGGACCTGAGATTATGTCTCCCCAAGTTCCCAAAGGGGTTCAATGAAAGCCCTGAACCACAGACTCTAAGATCAATGACCCCGCGGGTCGCCTGGCCCAGCCAGGGCAGGAATCCTTCCTACATCATTCTGGGGGAGAGCCCTCACCCAGCTCAAGTGTGTCTAGTGCCCAAAGGACATCCCTATGAGGCTGCCTTTCCATGTCGCACATGGCTATTGGCTAAATAGTGGACAGAACATGTATTTGTAATGTTGTTTTAAGTGGGCAATGAATGCTAGAGTGATAACAAAGGAAATATTTAAAACATTTTAAAATTTATCCACATTAAACATTTTTGTTTTTCTATATTTCTTTTTAGATCTTGTCAAATTTTTCATTTTAGCAATTTCGTTATCATTTGCTTAGTAATTTTCCAGATTATTTCATGTATTCTTATAAACTTTCTCTATTTTTAAAAAGGTGTCATAATGATTCATTTAAAAGACTAGGTGATATCTTATCAAGCTTAGTACTGTAAAAATTTTCAGCGTTTATGTATTTTAAAATGTAATGCATACTTTCATGTGTTTCTTTTTTCTGTTTGAATTATATCTTCAGCCTATATCCTAGGAGTATATTCTGAGTCAAAAGGGGATGAATATTTTTGTAGCTCTTGATTTGGATCTTCAAACTGCTTTCCAAAAGGCTTATGACAGGGTACATGTCCTAAATCTACATAATGGTGTTACTACAGACTTACCAGCACAGAGTAACTCTTTTACATTACTTTTGCTAATTTAATAGATGAGAATAGTATTTTGTTGCTATTTTTGAACAACAACAACAAAAATCCACTGACCCCAATGAATTCTTTCTGGAACAACACAGAATAAATTAACAGAGTTTCAATTATATAAGGGTAGGACCAAATGAAACTTCATTGGAAGAATAATATATAAGTGTAAGGTATTACTTTTAAAGGTGTTTGAACTCCTTAGAGGATGATAGAACCAAATGGAATTTTCCAAAAATATCAATAAATGTGATTTTCTATTTTTTTCCTATCAGTCCATCTTTTTTTTTTCTGGACAAGATAATGTTTCTTCACTACTTTTTCAGGAACTTTTTGACCTCACATAAGTAGGATAAAAAAATTGGTCTAAAGCCCATGCCTTGGTTCCACTGGAAAGTGAGTTAGGATTGTGTTTCCTTGCAGCCACTTCTGACGGCACAGCAGTTAGCCTCTGCTGTCGCTGGTGTGATGCCAGGAGGCACGCCCGCCCTGAACCAGCCTATCCTCATCCCCTTCAACATGGCCGGACAGCTAGGAGGGCAACAAGGACTCGTCCTCACACTGCCTACGGCGAATCTCACCAACATCCAAGGGCTGGTAGCAGCAGCTGCAGCTGGAGGCATTATGACCCTGCCATTGCAAAATCTACAAGGTAACCCATTGTGTCTACGTGTCACATAGGGCTCCACCCAAGGGCCAGTGTTCTTTGCAGTGGGCAAGTACTCTGAATCTTGACTGTGGTTCGGAGCTGCTTCTACCATACAGGGTATAGGAGGCTTTTGTAGGGAGCAAAGTATCACGTTGTCTTGTGAGTCCTTAGCTTGCTCAAGCCCTGGGCTTTATCAGTTCTCATTTCCTACAATTAATTGCAGGTCCACTGGAAGCATTTATGAGCTATCATTGCATGACATAAAAAATTTACATATAAAATTATTATGTTGTTATTTGAAGACTTGAATTATGATCTCATGAGTTCTTTAATTTGGTCATCTTCAGAAAAAGGTTAGACATGACTGCTTTGTGTAGGAGGTGGTTGGAACATCTCAACAAGGTATCGTTTGGAATAATTAGTTTAATTATTATTTTGCTTACTAAGTATATTTTAGTTATAATTATTAAACAAAATTATATTATTTGAGATCATAGTTTATAATAAGAAAAGTGGACTTGAATATTGAGTCTTTCTGTTGCATGAGCATATAGAAAAGTTGGATTCTAACTTTACTCAGAAAGGGTATTTTTCTTGTTAGTATGAAGATTTTGACTTTTCTTTAAAAGACTTGGTAACACTAACTGATAAGCTGGCTTAAAAATGAGTTCTAAAGAGGAAAAATTTGATTAGGATGCTTAACAAAGAGAAAACATTTATTTTGGACTAGTCAGAGATATTTGTTTTCTCTATTGGTATAAATGTTAATGACTAAATTTTTTTCTGCAGAGTGAGAGTTTGGTTGGGTAAGTTTTCAGAACAACAATATAAAGTACTTTTTTAGTTGGTCAAATGTTAGGGCTCCTTATAACCTATTAAATTGGTCAGAGCATCAGTCCACAGATTAAGAAATAGACCGAGTAAAAACTGGTTAACTCTTGACCCAAATTTCTTTACACACTATTATGTTCTCATATCCCATCCACTGTTGCCACTTCTTGACTTTTACTTTAACGTTTAAAACAAAGTCTTTCTTATACCATTCAATTGTGCCAAGAAAGCTGCCATTCATAAATCATGCATGCGTAGGACACATTAATGCACAAACTTTGCTTGTTTCAAATTTGAGAGTGGCTGGGAAGCTAGGATCTCAAGATTAAGCAAATAAGGCAGGAATAAACAAGGTGAAAGCAAAAGCAGCAAAGTGTAGGGAGAAGCTTTTTAATGTAGGTGGATGATGAAATCTTAATGAAGAAATAGCCATTATCTAAATGCAACCTTCCATTTGGAACATTGGCGCTTATGGGAATATTGGATATTATAAATAAACATAAGCTTGTGGAGCTTGTAGGACATGGATTAATCCTGCTTAGTTAAAATGGACACCAAAGTCAGAGTCCAAAAAAACAGGCTTGTTATATCTGTACTACAGGTTGGTATTCTTAAGGCTTTATTACTTTGTTATGTTAAGGGTTCAGAATTAGCAACTGGTCCAATATGAACTTTCATCAAGATGTTCCTTTTCTCTCTCTCTCAATACCAAATTTAGTATTAGCTTATAGTTTGGAATTTGGTTCTTTTTGGCATCTTTGGTTTCAGAAAATGATCCCAAGGTCCTAATGAAGTGCAGTAAGAGCACTAGTTCTTTGTATCCCTTGGTGCTGCTCACATAAGTTCCCTATGGCCTCATCTTCGGAAGTGCATTGGAGTTGATGGTCAAGCTGGTCTGGGAGCTTTTTCAAAATTCATTTGGCAACTCCAACTATCTCTGGATTCTGAGCATCTCAGGGTGATGGTGAGCCATGTGACTGTAAAGTGCCCTCATTAATTTTCTTGTTGTTCCTAACCACCCCAGGCCTCTAAATGGGGGTAATGATTGAAAGGAATTATTTATTTGGGAATATTCTTCCTTCTGTTAGTACATTCATGTCCCCAAAACTAAGGGGTGTTCTCTTGCATAATGGAAGCACTACCGAAACTATCGCTCCAAGATTTTATCCAGCAACAGCTTTTCATTGCTGAAAAAGAAAAGCCGTCTGCATGGCCTGTGACTGTTTTCCCTTCTCCTCTGATCCTCCCATTCAAGAACGAGATGCACTCCTGTCTCATCAATGATGGGATCTTCCTGTAAGGAAACAGATGGGAGTAGGGAGTTGGAAATCTTGCAGAATTTTAGGGATAGCCCTGTATCCCTGCCTCGGTGATCGTGGAATGAGATTTGGGGATTAGAGTTTCAACTTGCAAATGTGTTGGATTTTTTGCTTTTTTTTTATTAGAGGAGAAAATATAGATAAATACAGCCTCAATACAAGTGACCCCAAGTAGCAAAGGGGTTTAGCGGGACAGCAAAGGTGGGTCTACATTTAGGATAGATGATTCAGAGTAGTGGCTTGTTCTCATCACACAGGCCATGTGGGATAACCCACTAATCACTAGGGGCAACATAAATGGAGAATATAAATGTGCTACCTAGGAAACTTATATCAAACTATGAACTTTCCAATGAACTCCAGCATAACATTTAAATTAATGACTAAAAAGTACATTAGAGAGTGCTGCTTACCTTAGAACATGGAAAAGCAATTAGATTCAAAGCAAGTTGAAACTCAAGGCCAAGGATGGTTTCTCCTGCCCTTAGCACTGGCGTGAAACTTGCCCTGGATTTCTGTGAGTCTCCAAATTAAAGGCTGTGCCAAGCAGAGTATGTGGGACTAATTTTGAGATTAGGAATTTCATGTGCAAGTTACCTAAGATTTCCTCTTGTTTGCTTTGTTGTTGTTTTAATTGAGGTATTATTTACATACAGTAAACTTCATGAATCTTAAGTGCTCAGCTCTATGAGTTTTAATAATTATATACACCCTTGCAACCTCCATCCACCACAGTCAATACCTTACACATTTCATTTTCTCCAAAAGGTCCCCTTTTGTCTCTTTGCAGTCAATACCTCCCTCTAATAAGGCAGCTCTGACCTGCTTCCTGTTACTATGCATTAGTTTTGTCTCTTCTAGAACTTCGTATGAATGGATCCGTGCAGTATGTATTCTTTCATGTCTGGCTTTTCTTGCTGGGCATAATGTCTTTGAGATTCACTCATGTTGTTGTGTAGATCTGCAGTTTCTTTCCTTTCCAAGTAGTGTTCTACCGTAAGAATATGCCACAGTTTGTTTATCCATGGCCATTCCTATGTCCCAGTAGGCAGACATCCTGAAGGCCCTCTCCCCTGGGGACAGGGACAGGATCCTCGACTGAGTGTCTCTGGGGAAGACCCTTGGCTGCACTGCTGGGAGATCCTTCCCTGCTCATTATCTTCCTTGGCCACATCTGAAGAAAAAGTTGAGGAATATACCTTTCTTTGGAGGCGTATGGAAACTTGTGGGCCAACAGTTGCTTGAAGTTTTCAACAGTTAAAGATTTGTAGCTTCTTTGGGAATCTAGTTCTCTCCGAATCCAAGAATGCTTCCGATCCCTTTGCTTTCAGTCAGTTCCATGTGCCAAAGGTTTTTCCAAGACATATATCTTCAGTCTAATTTATGTTGCTTTCTCGCTTCCACACCTTCCTCTTGCAATTCAGTCAGCCTTGGTGTGAGGGCTTCTGGCTTCCCCGGTGCTCTTTGAATATACTCCTACCCAGGAACCTCTGCTCAGGCTGTGCCCTCTGCCTGAAGCATTCTTTCCCCAGAAAGCATCAAACCTATCATCTTCCTTGTACCCCATCCCCAGTATTTCTGTTCCCTCAAACATTAAAAATAACGGGTGAGTACAAAACTACTAATAAAATGAAAGCTAGGAAAATCCTCATGGAAATGAGAAACCCAAGTTGTCCCATTAAAGAAAATGTCAATGGCTCTGTTTCTCAGAAGCATATGCTAACACTAAAATAAAGATTTCAGATGCACACAGTTTGATCCCAATTGTTTAACAGAAGCCCCTCCCCCACACGCCGCAGAAATAGGAAAAGAGAAATAGTATATACAACAAAGGGCTACTTGTGGACTCTAGACAGTGAGATGTAATAGGTGATTGCTTTCCTTCTTAAAGATTCTACAATAAGTATTATTTCAAAATCAAAATACTCTGTATTCAGTCAGGTGAAAGATCATATCCAAAACGTCATTACTAGCATTGACAACGTTGTCTATGGGCCTGTCGTCTTGACCTTCTAACCACCTTTGTAAGAAAGCATCTCTCAACTCCAAGTGGATTAATTCTCAAATTAAAAACAATACAACCACAAAGCATCTCTATACATTCATTATGTATGAGCAACATTTAATATTAATACAATTGCCTTTAAATGCCTTGACTTTATTGACCACAGGAGAAATTGTTGGCGGGACGTGGATGGGGGGTGGGAATGTGGACGGATCATTCTGGTGTCGTTCTTGAAGAGGAAAACAAGTAGGCGGCCATGTGCGATGCTGTTCCTTTGATTGACTTTTGTGCTAGTCTCATGGTGCCCACACTCAGAACGTCGCATTCCCAGGGGCATCGTGACCATGTGGGCAGAGGTCTAATATCAGTCACAGAAAGGATAAAGGACAAGGCAGTGCCTGCCACAGAAATGAGGAGAACGGACTCTGGCTTTTACCTATGCAATGATTTCTCAACCTCTGGTTCGTGGCTGGCGCACAGAGTCCAATATTAAAAATACTTAGTACATAAATTTATATTTGTGCTGTTATTCAGAAGAGCCCCACATGACATGCCATCCAGTAATGCCGAATCCACCATAAAGAAGTTATGAAAAGCTGTTGCCATGTGTCTTACTTTGGCAGTTTTTTAAACCTCTGTATCTCTGAAGCTTTAGACTTTTTATTTAAAGTACCAGGAGAGCCTGTTCCCCAGTACATTATCCTTGAAGCAGGCGTTGCCGAGGCACTGGGGCATAGATTAAACCAGAAGCACATGAATGAGGGGGATGACTACTATACTGTGTAGGAAAAGATACTGTCAATGGAATAAAGCATTGTCAGAGGATAATGGTTTCCAGCTGCCACATA